CTCTCTCTCGGTCCTCCTCTCCTCTCCCTGATGTGTGTGCTTTGTCTCTGTGTGTCTCTGTGTGTCTCTGTCCTTTCTCTTTCTCTTTCTCTCACTCACTCTCCCTCTCTCTCTCTGGCTCTCTCTCTCTCTCTCTCTCTCCTCTCTCTCTCTCTCTCTCTCTCTCCCTCTCTCTCTCCTCTCTCTTCCTCTTCTCTCCTATTCGTCCCTTTACCCCTCAAACAAACCCCTGTTCCCGCCCCCCTCCCCCACCCTCTTCTCAACCCATCCTTCCCTCCTTCCCCCAACTCCCTCCCCCTACCACCCCTCTCCCCAACCCCCTTCCTCCATACCACCCCCCTCTCTCCCTCCCCCTCCCTCCCTACCACCCTCTCCACCTCCCTCCCTTCCCCTCCCCCTCCCTCCCTTTCCTTTCCCCACCTTCCTACCCCCCTTCCCCTTCCACTCCCCCCCAATCATTGCCCCACACGCGTTTGATAACCTCGCTAATCTGGCTCTTAATCGGGCCGAGTTCCCCGCGCCAATTTATCGAACGATCTCAAGGGCGCTGCTGCCGACGCGAGTGCGAGCGAGGGCGAGCGACGCGGCGGTGAACGTGCGGATCGACACGACAGGGCGCGGACTGGGGAGAGGGAACGAGAAGGTGAACGGGAGAGTGCAACGTGAGGGGCGAAAGGCCGAGAGCGAGCGAGCGCGAACGTGCGATCGACACGACAGGGCGGGACGGAGAGGGAACGAGAAGGTGAACGTCGAGACGTGACCACTGAGGGCGAAGGGGGAGAGCGACGGCGAGCCGGCGAAACGGTGACCGGATCGGACACGACAGGCGGCGGGAGAGGGAACGAAGAAGAGCGAACGGGATTGAACGAGAAGGTGAACGTGGAGAGTGAACGCCAGAGGCATGAACAAAGAAATAGTGAAACGTGAGGCGTGAGCGTGAGGGCGAACGTGAGAGGGAACGAGAAGGTGAACGTGAGGGCGAACGGGAGTGAACGGGAGTGTAAACGAGAAGGTGAACGGGAGAGTGAACGTGAGAGTGAGCGTGAGAGTGAACATGAGACAGAGAAACGCCAGGGTGAACGTGAGGGCGAACGTGAGAGTGAACGGAGCAAAGAGAAGAGAATGTGAATGAGAAGTAAAGTGAAGAGTGATAGGGGGGGTGAGCGCAGAGAAAATGAACGAGAAGTGAACGAGAGAATGAAATGAGTGAACGTGAACAAGAGCAGGAACGTGAACGTTGACAAGTCATCCCCAGCGGTATTGTGAGTGCAAATCTATTATAGGAGTGAAGAAGAAGAAGAAAAAAAAAAAGATGACAAAGAATGTGCACCTGACAGACCGAACTTAACGTGCGCGAGAACGAACGAGAGAACCGAGGGAGAGAGGGAGGAAGGGAGAGAGGAAGAGGGAAGAGGAGGAGGGAGGGACGAGGAACGAGCGAGAAACGAGGAGAGAGGAGGAGGGAGGAGGAGGAGGAGAGGGAGAGAACGAGCGGGAACGAGGGAGAGAGGGAGGGAGAGGAGGGAGGGAACGAGCGAGAACGAGGGAGAGAGGGGAGGAGAGAGAGGGAGGGAGGGAGGAGCGAGAGAGAGGAGGAGGGAAGAACGAGCGAGAACGAGGCGAGAGGAGAGGGAGGGACCAGGGAACGAGGGAGAGGAGGAGGGACGGGAGAGAACGAGCGTGATCCCCCCCCAGGAACGAGAGAACGGCGGCCGCCACACCCGAACGAGCGCGAGCGAGCGACGTGAGTGACGAAGTGACGTGAACCCCGGCGAACGTGACCCTGCGAGAGATGAGAGAGAGAGAGAGAGAGAGAGAGAGAGAGAGAGAGCGAGAGAGAGAGAGAGAGAGAGAGAGAGAGAGAGAGAGAGAGAGGAGAAGAGAGAGAGAGAGAGAGAGGAGAGAGAGAGAGACAGAGAGAGAGAAGAGAGAGAGAGAGAGAGAGATGAAGCGAGAGAGAGAGAGAGAGACAGAGCAGAGAGACAAGACGATTTGGAGACGAAGTGAAATAAGAGGAGAGAAAAAGACAGCAGATGGGAGAAGGATGACGGAAGAAAGGAGGAGTAAATAAAGCTCCGAGAAGGAGAGGGACAAGGACAAGGACGAGGAGGAAAATGAGGAGGAGGAACAAGAGAAGAAGAAGGAGAAGGAGGAGAAGAGAAGGAAAGGGAGGAGGCTGAAAAGGGGAAGTGAAAAGATAGAGGACAGTGTAGGAGGCAAGGAGAAAAGTAGCGAAGAGAGAAAAGAGGAGAGGTGCAAGTGCGCGAAAAGCCGTGTAGATGACATCCTCCCCCCCACACACCCCTCCACCCTCCTCCCCCTCTCCCTCCCTCCCTCACCCCTCTCTTTTCCTCCACCCCACCCCATCCACATCCACTCCCTCCCTTCCTTCCCTCCCCTCTCCCCTCACAACCCCCACTCCCCCCTTCCCTCCACCCCCCAACCCTCTCCCCCCTCACACCCCCATTACCACTCCCCCCTCACCCCCACCCCCCACTCCTCCCCCCACACACTCCTCGGGTTTCAATTATGCAACAGTTGCAGGTCTCTCTCGAACAGCTCGACTCTCGCGGGAAAGGGGGGGGGGGAAGGGGGGAAGGGGGAAGGGGTGGGAAAGGGGGGGAGGGAGGGGGAGGTTTTTGGCTTTTAATTATCTCTTTTATTTACTCGTGTTTATCCTTTCTTTGTAGCGTTAGTATGCATATGAGTGTGAGGGTGAGGGTGAGGGTCAAGGGAGGGTGTGTGTTCTTTCATTTCTTCTCCTTCTCCCTCACCCTCTCTCTCTTCCTTTCCTTCCTCTCCCCTCCTCCTCTCTCCTCTCTCCTTCTCCCTCCCTCTTTCTCTCATCTTTCTCCCTCCCTCCCCCTCCTCTCTCTCTCTTCCTCTCTCCTTCCCCTCTCCCTCTCCCTCTCTCCTCCCTTTCTCTCTTCCCCTCCTCTCTCCTCTCATTTTATCTATCTTGCTAATCACTACCACAAAAATCCTCTTCCCCCCCCCTCCCCCCTCCCCATCCCTCTCCTTTGCTTATCCTAATCTTTATCCAATTTCCCTTATCTCCGTTTTCTTTCGTCTGAAACCGGTTCACACTCGCTGAATTCCCGTTTTCTACAGTTTACCCTTAAAAATATGACGACGATCGTGATGGTGATGAATGTTG